TAAAAATTTGAAAAAGAAAGAACAGAGATCTTATAGACATTTTAACTTGAATTAAGTTTTAAAAAGTGCTAATTTAAAAATCAAATCGACGCGTGTAGATTAACAAAGATTTTATACAATTAGAAAGACTGCTAATTTTAAATTTTAACAAGCAGTGTAACAGCTACGTGAGTGATACACACCTGATGATGGCCATTTAGGGCCGAAACATGTAGTGTGGAGGAGGAAAAGGAGTAAAAACTACAATAAAATTTGTTGCACTTAAGACGGTATTTATCCATATATATTGAGTGAGTGTAACAGGATGCTGAAATATAATATTGTAAATTTAATATTGTGACAGAAAAATTTTATCAGTGTTAAGTCCATTTTAGACTTTGATGGCTTATATGTAGCATGTCCACAAAGTAAGTTTCCCACTCATCCCACAGCTAGCAAACCTTATATTGCGCGAAGCGAATGCACGTACGTGATAGAGCAATGATGTAGCATGGCGCATGCACAAATGGAATTTCCCGCATTCCCACAGTAGCATCGTTGCAGCTGTTGAAGATGGAGGCTCTTATTCCAACTCCCGCCAACTGTGAAGTGCGGTCAGTGATAAAGTTTTTCAATGCACAGAGCATAGTGCCAATCGAAATTCATCATCAGCTGTGCCGGGTCTATGGGCCTAACGTCATGAGTAAGCAGGTGGTGCGTCACTGGTGCAGACAATTTTCAGCAGGTCGACAAAGTGTGCATGATGAGAAGCGCAGTGGGCGGCCATCCATCATTACAGACGACCTGGTGGAGCTGGTGCGGGAATGCATTATGGAGAATCATCGTGTCACAACTGCGGAACTCAGCAGTCATGTCCTGCAGATTTCCCGCTCCTTGTTGCACGAAATTGTCACGGAGCACCTGTTGTTGAGGAAATTGTGTGCCAGGTGGGTGCCGAAGCAACTGACACCAGAACACAAAACATAGCGCATGGAGTCAGCATTGACCTTTCTGCAGCAGTACCACGATGATGGCAACGAGTTTCTGGACCGGATCATCACAGGTGATGAAATGTGGATTGCACACATTACCCCAGACACCAAGCAGCAGTCAATGCATTGGCGTCACAGTGGATCTCCCTGTAAGACGAAATTCAAGCAGACGTTGTTGGCGCGGAAAGTGATGTGCACAGTATTCTGGGAAAGACGGGGCGTTCTCCACGTCAATTTCCTGACCAGAGGTGAGACGGTGAATGCCGAGCGTTACTGTGAAACACTGCAGAAATTGCAACGGGCCATTCAGAACAAGCAGCGTGGGATGCTTAGTGCCGGTATTGTCTTCCTGCACGATAACGCTAGGCCGCACACAGCTCAACGGATGGCAAGTCTCCTGCAGGAGTTCAGCTGGGAGGTGTTTAATCATCCACCCTACAGCCCGGACCTCGCTCCCAGTGATTTCCATCTTTTCCTACACCTCAAGAAATTCCTGTCCGGTGAGCGTCAGCGTTTTGAGAATGACAGAGAGGTGGAGAAGGTTGTCACACAGTGGTTCCAATCCCAGGTGGCAGACTTCTATGACACAGGTATTCAAAAGTTGGTCCCACGGTATGACAAATGTCTCAATTCTGGTGGCGTTTATGTCGAAAAATAGCTGAACACTTGCTGTATCTGTTGCAATAAATATTTCCATGAAATTATGTTTTGTTTCTGTAAACGGCCCCAGGGAAACTTACTTTGTGGATGAACCTCGTATCACTCACATTTAGAAAAATTAATGTAATATAAAATGATTACTCCCTTCTACTGTAGAGAGTTTAAGAATGTGTAACACTACACCTCCACTTCAAGGCTGCACCATAGCTCAAGCGGTTAGTCGCTGGCTTCCCACCGCGGCGGCCCGGGTTCGATCCCGGGTCTGGTCAAGTAGGATTCGTGGTGGACAAAGTGGCACTGGGGTGGGTTTTCTCCGAGTACTTCGGTTTCCCCTGCCAATCTTCATTCCACCAACTGCTCCACAATCACTGGGGCTGGTACAATAGGCCAGAAGTGGCCGCAGTACAAGGAACTTAGTCCCACCCCACTAGCAATAAAAAGAAAATACCTCCACTTCCCAATGCATGGTCATGGCATGGTGCTTCATTATGCAAGGGAAAACTTCGTATTTACAACAAAAACAAGGGAAATTCACATTCGCACACTTCTTGCACGATAAAATCTTGCCAGTCCAGACTATATGGGGAGGATTTGTAATTTGTATTAGGCAATAATACAAGTTTGCAAGGCATCTTATTAATAATGAATAAAATAACAGTGTTCTTGACCAAATTCATGTTTGTGGCATGTGTATTATCAAGATTATTTCTTGTAACTCAAATCCACAGAGATCGCAACAGATCACTTTAAATTCACTGGCAGATACATTTAAGATTGTCAACCATCTTGTAATAAATGTTGATGGTAAGTTATGCAAGTAGCCTTGAAAATGATCATGGTTCAGATTAGAATATACAAGATAAAAAAATCTTCATATTTATTTTATGCAGGAAGCCTGAGAATGTACTCTGAGGACAGTGAATGCTACAAATAAGATGTGTTACTGCTGTCAACGATCAAAAGCCTTGTCATTAAGCATACAGGTAATTATTTATGACTCTGATAAAAATTCATCCAATATTTATTTCCCGGAGTGATACAAATTTTGCCTGAAAGTACTTAAGATACAGTAAAGTGAAATATTCATGACTGATTTTGTTCAAGAAGTTACAGTCCTGATCTGCCAACATGGTCTGGAAGTATGAATCTCAGCTTGAGAATCAGCAAAGGTTCATCATGAAATTTCATCGCAATATGTACAAATGATGCAAGTTCTTTTGTAGGTACCAAACTTGGAGCTTCATATGAGGCACAATGCCCATTATGGTTCAAAAGAATCAATTTCAAATTGAATGTCATGAAGAAATACAATCCCTGAATTCCATCAGAATCTGCTAAGATACAAAAGAAGTATGAAGGACAAAGTGGATGAAAAAACTTCATGATCCATATACATCAAAGCAACTTCAACAACAAAAATTTGTGGTCACACATTTTTCACTTCAAACTAAAAGCTTTTGATATTCAAATCTGGTACCAGAAAGATATATTTCCAATATAACAGGGTTTTAACACCAGGTAAGTTCGAGGTGGAGCTCCAAGCTCTAAGAATACCAAACTGCCATGTATATGAGTGTGACTATAAATGGGTTTTGGATTGATGATCAGCTTTATGGGACTCTTTTGATACGGCATGTAACTACACTTTACAATTCACTGTTACAGACATACACTAGTCATAATATCATATTTCAGCATTTCACAATTAATACTGTTGCATTAGAGACTGAAAACAAGACTATAAAACATACACTAGCATCTACAGTCATGTCTCCACTAGTAGTTGCTTGGTAGTGGTTTCCAATGGCAGACGTTCCCCTTCCTCTGGATTCCTGAACTACCCGCAGCCTCATCTGCCAGCTTCTCACAGCAACAGCTCACAATGGCTGAACCTCAGCAGTTCTCCAACTAACAGACTGACTAACTCAGTCACTCACGAACGAACTACCTCAACTCAACTGACTCTCACTAACTGAACTGCTTATAACATCTCAACACAGACTGCAGAGGAAACAATGTTCCTCTGTAGCTATTTATGGGCTGCTGCCTAGCAATGGCCATTGTTTAGCTATCTGTTTTGCAGTCATTATGTAGCAATGGGTCTACATGCCACATTATGTTATGGATGCAAGGGAAGAGGGAATTACCTTCTTTTGAGAGACACTAGTGGTGACCACAGGTTTCACTATACCCTTATCTTCACCATGTATCTGTTGATAAGTTTTAAGTTTCTCAATGACTTCTGCCAAGTGGTTTTCCAACTTGTCATTTCGGGACTGTACTTTCAGTAGTTCATATTGCAGATCATCAATCTGGTTTCGAAGTTCAGCTGCTTCTGTCTCCTTCCCAGTCAAACTGTCCTGAAGTTCTGCCATCTATTACAACACAAAAATTTCAACTAAAATAATCTTATTTACAGTTAAAGCTTGTTCATAATATCTAAATGATGCATAATTTTAAATTAAAGAATACAGTTAACTGATCTGCCATAAAACAGAAAACTTATACCAACATACAAGGACTGTATGGCAGAATGTTCAATGTTCTGTGCAAATATTTCAGCCTTATATATTTATTACTTTCTGTGGAAATTCAATTTAAATTCATTTCAGAGATTCTAATACATGTACCTTAAGTGAAATAGTATGGTATTTTTCATGCAGTGATGTATTTAGTGCTTGCAAATTCCTATTTTCACCTTGAATTTCTATGTTTGCTTGTCGAATTGTCTCATCCATATTTGGAGCTTCATCTATAAAAAGATCACATAAATCTTATTAATGAAATGTACACAAGTAGAATTTGAATGACAAGCTATAAAACACCCCGATGGTGAGATTTTCATTAGGTTGCCATTTTTCAAAATATTTCATTTATTAATTAATTATTCTTCATTCAAACCATGCTGTCAATACTCTTTTGTGGTCAGAGCCGAGTTTTAATGAAAGTAATTTAAAAAGACATCAGACAAAATTCCAAAATGGTCATGTGCTTCAAGATGAATATTTTTGTTTTAATTGTATAATTTTGAAATTTATTCCCAAGTCTATCTCCTAACATAATATCATTTCAACGTATAATCCATCTTCGATAAACATGGATGCTACTACTTTCAATACAAATTCCTTGTATACTCTTAATACGTGGTGCAATCCAAAAGTTCCCGAAATATATTAATAAAAACTATTAGGTCTTACCTAGATCTTATTCTGCACCATCACCTTCAAAGTAGTCCCCTTGGAAGCACATACACCGATCCCAGTGTTTCTGCCACTTTTCAAATGCATCCTGGAAGTCTTTCTTTGTTGGGGTGTTTAGTACCGTCTGCGTTTCCGCTTGAATTTCCTCAACTGTATCAAATCTTCACCCCTTCAACTTGATTTTCATTTTGGGGAAGAGAAAGAAGTCGCATGGAGCTAAGTCTGGCGAGTGTGGTGGGAGGGGAACAACTGCCATCTTGTTTTTAGCCAAAAATTCCTGCACAATGTAAGCCGTATGTGGTTGTGTGTTGTCATGGTGGAGTACCCAGTCATTCATGCGCCACTTCTCTGGACGTTTTCTCCTCATGTTCTCCCTCAAACGCCTTAGAACATCGCGATAGAACTCTTTATTGACTGTCTGACCAGGAGGGACGAACTCCTTATGAACAATCCTGCCAATATCAAAAAAACAGATCAACATGGACTTAATGTTGCTCTTGACTTGTCAAGCTTTTTTTGGCCGAGGTGAAGGAGGGCTGTTCCATTGCGACAATTGCTGCTTGCTTTCAAGGTCGTAGCCATAAACCCAACTTTCATCACCAGTGACAACCTTCAAAAGAAAGTTTGGATCCTCTTGAAGCTGTTGCTGAAGTTCCCTGCAGACTTCCAAGCGATGCTGCTTCTGTTCATTTTGCAGCAGTCGTGGCACAAACTTCGCCACAATCCTCCTAATGTTCAGTTCCTCTAACAAAATTCGTTGACATGTACCATAACTTAGTCCCAAGGTGTTACAGAGGTCTTGGATGGTCAGTCTATGATCTTGCAGAATCAGATCCCTAACTTTCGCTATATATTCTGGTGTGGTGCCAGTTGACAGCCGTCCTGAACGATCGTCATCATCAGTCAATGTTCGGCCATTTTTAAAACGCTTATACCAGTTGTAAGTTTGTGTCTGGCCTAAACTGTTTTCACCAAAAGCTTGCTTCAACATTTGGTGCGTTTCTGCAGCGGTTTGCCAAAGTTTGAAACAAAACTTTATACAGACATGCTGCTCTCTCAGGTCAGCCATCGCAAAACTGCAAACTCACGGAAACATAACAATGGAAATACGTTCACCAACAATAAACCCAACCACTCAATTCAAAGCCGCTTGCCACACTGATTCAAGAAGGATGTGTGAGGAGACACCTAGTGGTATTTCGATGTATTCATAACCATTCGCGCGCAAAATTCAAATTTCGGAAACTTTTGGATTGCCCCATGTATTTTGAAAAGATCAGTATTGTAGTTCTTATGTTCTAACTGAGGCATAACTTTACAATATGGATGTGCTGCACTAATATGGATCCATATTTAAGAGTTCAATAACTTTGGCCGTATGATCATAATACTGCCTGATGATGGTCCCATGAGGACCGAAACACGTAGTGGTAGAAAATAAAATAAAATTCAAAGTGGTATTGACTGACTGAAAAACCATGTTTGTTGTTGCCAGAAACCTTTCCTTTCCATATACCGTATTTGTGACACACAGCAGGATGCACACTATAAAAATATTTGGATTATCACTTGCAGTGGTCAGAAACATGGGATCTTTCACTATATGTAACAATATCTTCCTTTCTGTCTTTCAGTATCTCAACTCCCCTGTAACATTTTGTAAATGCCAGTCTGCAACACTAATGTTTATCAACTGGCCTGACAACTAGTTTAAATAAATACTGCATTACACCTATATGTACATATCCATGTGTACATCACAACCCATATGAACCATTATAGCTCATAAAAACATCATCTATCTGACAGAAGCCATGCAACTTAACACATTTTCTTCCCCTCACATGGGCCAGAAAAAGAAATAATAAAAGTCAATCATTAAAAACAATCAACTTCCTTAAAGTGGGATTATTGGAAACCATTTCTAAGTTCAAAGCAGAAAATATATGTTTCAGTGGGTACATATGGTGCTTCCTTGGTTTAATTATCCACCTTAACAGGCAGAACGGATGAAAGTAGAAAACATCAGAACTTCAAAAGCTGTCAATTATTTCTACTAGAAATGAATAAAATTATGTGGGCTTAACTAAACACAAATTATGATAAAAGGCCAACAACACTGATAGCAATAAATATCATATTTCCATTCCTTAAGAATTGAATAATTGAAAGTCTTTAATACCTCTGACTAATTTTAATGGCCTTTCAAAAGGACATGAACATTCAGATAATATTCCTAAAATCTGGACCTGGAACAGCTCAGTCAGTACTATGAATGGCTACAGGCTGGACAACCAAGAAGTCAGGGTTGGATTCCTGGCAGGAGCAAGAGATTCTTTTCTTGCCCACAACATTCAGACCAATTCTGAGGCCCACCCAACCTGCTGTCCAATGGGTACAGGGGCTACCGCTCACCTCTAACTTCAGCTGAGTTTAGAAATCCATGGATTTATACCCTCGATACTTCATACATCTTCAAGGCACAGTGCTTAATTAAGTACATACACAACTTTACCTTTATTTAATACCTACAATCTAATTTAACATATCTATGACTAATTCTTGTTCAGGTTTGGGAGTCAGTTTTACATACGAGGGTTATCCAGAAAGTTGGTTCCGATGAGCTACCAAAAAAGAAATACTTCCAAACCATTTATATTGCCATTTGATATACATATTACACATTACTTTTCCCATAGTTTCCACCATTGTTAAGGCTCTTGTTGTAGCAGGGCACCAGTTTTTGTATCCCTATATTGTAGAATGATGCCGCATGCGGTGCTAACCCCTTGTTAATGGCTTCTTTTACCTTGCTGCCTTCATGGAACTGCTGGACACCAAGGAAAGTTTTCAGATGCAGGAACACATGAAAATCACTTGGAGCTAAGTCTGGGAAGTAAGGGGGATAACCGAACTATTCCCAGACAAATGTCACGATAAGACTGCGCCGTGGTGACAGTGTATATGGGCACTGTCATGAACCATCACAACAACCCAACTAACCATACTACATCACTTGTTCTGGATGCACGATGCAATTTCTTAAGTGTCGCAACAGACACCTGAGTTGACTGTTGAGCCTCGAGGCAAGAATTCCACAAGAACACATTTTCTGTTCCAAAACACTGTGCACATGATCTTATAAGTTAAAATGGTCTCTTTGAATTTTTTCTTTATTGGTGATGTGTGCCCCCACTCCATGGACTGCTGCTTCAATTCAGGGGTTATGTGCAACACCCATGTCTCATCCCGTGACTATGCAACTCAAGAAGTCATAGCCTTGCTCACTGTATCACGTCAGAAAGGTCAACGCACTGGCCTGCCATTTCATATTGTGTTCTTCCGTAAGCATCTTCAGCAACCAGCATGAACACAATTTCTAAAAACGAAGTTTATCACACACAATTTCGTGAAGAAGTGACCATGAAATTTGTGGAAAATGCAAGGAAAGTGATGAAATAGTGAATCAGCTGCTCTTTTGAATATTCTCTTCCACTGCACGTTCCACATCTTCATCATCCACAGATGGTCAGCCACTCCGCGGATTATCATGCAGATTTACGTGCCCTTCATTTAAGTGTCTCACCCATCTCCATACCAATGAATCACTCATGGCATGCTCTCCATACACCTCACAAAGCTGACAACAAATGTCAGCAGGTTTCATGTTTCTTGCATTCAAGAAACAGATTACAGACCTCATTTCATATGCGGCAGGCTTCTCAATTTTCTTGAACATTATAAACACACAGGACAATGCACAAAAGCAGTTCAACTGTCTGCAAATGGCATCCATGCCTTCCCAAAGGACCAATAAACGCGGCACACATGCGCACCATTGTGACTACAGTGCTGCAGGGCCAATATCAGCAAATGGAACTTATTTTGTGGATATGCCTCGTATATAAGTATAAAATGCAAATGGCATCCATGCTTTCCCAAAGGACCAATAAACGCGGCACACATGCGCACCATTGTGACCGCAGTGTTTCAGGGCCAATATTAGCAAATGGAACTTATTTTGTGGATAAGCCTCGTATATAAGTATAAAATGCTGATCACATTCATGCAAAGAAAAGGGCAGCAAAGTTGACAGAAATACAATAACTGGCCTCATTCACTCACATCACTTGGATGCTATCATATATACTTCTTGTGGCTTAACAGATCAAGTAGTTTATTATATATAACTCCCATTTATATTGATATTTTTCTCAGAACATTGTAAACAGTGTGTTTCAACTATAGTCAACATGTCTAATTCTGCATAAAGGTTGAGAAAAGTATGGAATTATATGAAATTACACAAAATAATAATAGGAACAAAAACTGCCCATGCAACAAATGCACTAGCAACAAGATTCAAGAATTTGTTTTAAAGAGCTCTTGTGTCAGAATCCTGCTCACAGTTATGTACAAAACTGGCAAAGCGCTGTAATAAATCTGAGCATAATAAACAGAAGTGCCACAGAAAATATTTATCCACCCTCAGGAAGATGAAAAACATATACAGAGAGGAACATAAAATATTGCAAATTATTGAGCTACATTTAAAACTAAAAAATAAAAAGCAAAGCAAGCATACACGGATCACAAGATGGGAGAAGATTCCAATAACCTCCATCAAGTTCGCCTTTGAGAGCAAGTGTAATCTTCTCATTTCTTTGCATAAGACGATCAAATGCCTGAATAACTTTCGCAACAGCCCGTTTTGATACTTGAACACGATTTGCTAACTTTTCATCTAATTCTTCCTTGTCCCATGTTGACAGCTGCATCAAGAACGAAGTCGTTGCTTCATTCTCATCTATAAAGAAAGATTAAACTAGCATTAGCATAAGATTCATATATGAGGTGCTATATTATGCTAAATGTAATGAGACCATTCACTGGAAATCAAATGACAGCCCATTTTACAATATAACATAATATGTATATATATTTTTAACCTATAGAAATCCTACTGGTTATCAATTACATGGAGCTCTTTATAAATTATGCACCATACAAGCAACTAAGTAGAGTTCAAAACCACAGTGCACCTGAAGAATTTGTCTCTAAAATGGCTAGAAAGAACTTCAGTGCTGGTAATGACAACAGACATATGCTTTCCAGTTACTTATTATATTTCATGCGTATGCTCATATATGATATTGTATATGAAAAAATACTTCTGCACTGTGCACTGAGAGTTTTTAAGCAGACAATGCAAGGATAAACATATCCTGTGGCCTTTCAGCATTCAAAAGATTTCTGCAGCACTCAAAACAATGTCACAGGTAACAAAATTTTAAGTCAATTTTATAACCAAGTAATAATGTAATAGGAGGATGAACTGCCTGTAGAAAAGAAGGTTAACCCTTTGACTGCCAATTACCACCACAGAACTATCTGATAGAAACAAGAAAGCTGTCTGAGGGTAAATGCAGTTGCAAAGAAAAACCTGCAATAGTTCCTCCAGTTACCTTTTAATGACCACAGGTACAGTTACAGAAGGGTCCTTATTGCTATGGAATTAAACTTTTTAATTGTCTCCCATTAAAAATAAAGGAAGTAGCACATGATAATAAGGTATTTAGAGTGGCCTTAAATGCCTTTTTACATTCAAAATCCTTTTATACTTTGGATGAATATTTTGGTTGTATAAATGAGTAGTAATTTACTATGTTCATTCAATATTGCATGCATTGTTTGGATGTGCAGTTGTACATTCAAGGATATTGCACTGATACCTGCATTGTATATAGCAAGCTTATACCTTGACTGGTTTTATTTGGTATTGAACATGTTAGATATAATCGCCAACTTGACTGGTATGCCATGTAACAAACATACCTCATTATAGTTGATGGATGTTGTGATCTTTTATGGTTTGAGATATATAAGCTACTAAGTTGAATGAATTTATTATGTAATGTGTTTTTATTACAATTTTAACTTATTTTATTTACAATTAAACATGGTATAGTGTTATGTATATTTTAGGTTGATGTATATTTTATGTTGACTAGTTCCATTGTTGGAGCATTTGTTGAAGATATTTGACTTGTTCTGTGTCCAGTGGTGTTGGCCTGTAATTGGATTTGCTTGAATGCAATAAATACTATACTATACTATA